GCAGCCAGGAAGCCCATGTAGCCAAGGGCAGTGTAGAACATGGCCACAGAACCTTCATTGCACTGCAGGATGATGTGTCCAGCCTGGGAATGCATATCCGAGTCAGGGAAGGGATGGGAGGTGCCCAGCCAGATGGTGCAGATGACAACCTGGATACTTGAACATGAGATGACAATGGAGTTCGCCAAGCTCTTCCCCAGCCATCCTCGCATCCTGTTGCCTGGCTTGGTGGCCAGGAAGGCCAGTACCACTGTGATTGTTTTGGCCAAGAGAGAAGAGACAGCCACTGAGAAGATGATGCTGAAGGCTGTTTGTCGGAGGAGGCATGTCACTTGCCTTGGTTGACCAATGAAAAGGAAGGAAGACAAGAAGGAGAGCAGGAGGGAGATGAGGAGGATGTAGGAGAGGTCCCGGTTGTTGGCTTTGACGATTGGAGTTTCCAGGGATTTAATGAAGAGCCCAAGCACAAGTCCTGTGGATAGGGATAAGAGTAGGGCAAGGCAAGATAGGCTGATCCCCAGAGGTTCTTCATAGGTGAGGAACGTGATGTTCTTGGGGATGCATCCATCCTGGTGTTCGTTTGGGTGCTGATCTTCTTGGCACGTGCTGCACTGCTCTGCATCTGCAAGGAATGGAAGTGTCAGTTCCCATCCAGGTCCACGTGTCACACTGCAGGCTCTCTGCTTGAGTGGCAGCAAGTCAGCTTTTTTCATGCACATTTGCTGGTGTGGAAGGAGCAGCTGGCCAGTCTCTGATCAATCCGCCCACCTGAGTTCCCCCACCTTTGCCCCCTGAGTCTCCCACTGGTACCCTTCCCTGTTATTGCTCCTCTGACCCTCGAGGAGAGCTCTGCTTTTCTTTCCACACTTGCTGCTGGGAAAGGGGAGTGTAGTGGTTTGCCAGGCAGCACCCAGGGAGCACAGGATCAGGTCGTTCAGCTCAGATGGGACGCTGATCGTGCTGCCCCTGCTGAGTGAGCATTGGCTGCTGGATGGGACAGTGGTGGATGGAGTGAATTTTTCCCTCAAGGAGGACCTTTGAGAAGATGCATTTGGGCTGTCGTGTCAACTACCTAAATGTGTAGACCACAGTGTGCCTCATGGTTTTCCTTATACATTGCTTTAGGTTGCTGTGACCCACTGCAAGACTCCTGGCTACAGGTCAGCCAAAATACAGTAGTGAATACAGTCAACTGTTCCCCAGCTGCAACTGACCTCATCAGCAATGGTGGTGATAGCCAGGCTGCAGTGCTGCTTTAGAGAAGGGCTCTGCTTTCCTTCTTTCCTTTTCAGCCACTCTCCCTCCCTCACCATGAACGATTTGTATTTCTTGGCCCCTTCCAGGTGAGCCCTCCACTCTGATACCTGAGAATTGAGGCAGCTCTTCTGCTAAGAAGGACACTCCTGCACATCTCTCAGCAGGTCAAAATGTGCAATATCTGGAGTGCCACAGCAGCGCACGGCCACTGCTGCACTGAGCACTGCGATCAGGAATCCTGCAAGGAATCCCCATGTGGAGATGCGCAGGGGAGAACCTGCCAAAGACGGTCTAGCCGGAGATGTTTGATTCCCCATGGCCGGCCTCCTCACCTTCCTGGGAAGAGAAGGTCCCTTCTGGGCAGGGGGTGCAGACGTAGCAGCAGATGAGCTCTCCTTCCTGAACCACCTTGACAGATCCCGGGTGACAGGTCTCCACACACCTGGAGCGGGGCAGTGGCTGAGCCAGAAGACAACAGACTTTGAAACCATCTCTTGTTGCTAATTTAGCCATGGGAATTAGACAGCTGGAAAGGAACCCCTGAGATTTCCAACCACAGATTTTGCAAGGGCTTTTCCCCAGTGCATACCCTCCTGATGTCTGAGACCAGGTCTGCAGGGATTGGGAGTTCGTGGAGGTCAGCAACCCTTTATTTCTTGTCAGAGAAAGAGGTTTTTGGTTCTTCCCAAGCATCAGAACTTAATCAGAATCTCCCCATGCTGCATCCTGAAAGGGTGGTCACTGTGGTCAGGCTGCTGAGGATGTTCCCTCCCTCCCTCCCTCCCCCCCAACTTCTTTGTGACCCCCACAGAGATATAGGCTGCTGGCTACCCATTGTTTGCCCTGACTGGGTCCAGATGGCAGTTTGAGGGAAAGCAGTCTAGTCTCATGCTCAGGAGCTGCTCAGCAGTATGAAAAGAAACAGGAGGCTCTCCCACCTTGTTGATCCGTTTGGGCCACTCAGTGGTGTCCTTATCAATGGTGACTTTGAGGTGTCGTGCTCCCTGTCTTTCCAAGCTCCCAATCTTCTTTCTGAGCACAGAGTAATTGGAAAACACCACCCAGTGCACAATGTCCAAGTCCACAACCAGCTCCCTATTCTTGCTCCAATATGCTCCATCGATGACCGAAGAATTATAAAACTGG